GATGAGGCGGTAGACCATCACGGGGGGCTCACTTATTATATTACCATAATTTCGATATAAGGTTTGTACTAAAATTAAGGTAATTACATCGGCTTAGCTATACAGTCTAGACCTTGAGAACACTGTAATAGAAAAGAATTCAAAATTTGTTTATGGGTGAGAGTCTAATTTCAAGCTAGTTTCTGAAACTGAACCATCAAGACCTAGCAAAGGGTAAAGGCTTGGCGAAAAAGTTGTTTACAGCGATCAATCTTTTGGGACACCATGTATACAGAAAATGTCGAAGCTAAGTTGCATGTTTCAACAAGATCACTAGAAACTTCATGTAGCCAGAGTTATTGTAGAGTGTTCCAGTATTTGTGTACGAAGAACGCACAAAAGAAGCATATCCCCCTGATTTGTTATAAAACTACTACATGACTAATATCACTTTGGGCAAAGGAAACTTTGGAGTGGTAAATCAATGTTACGAAGAAATATCACTTTCTACCTTTGGAACAAACTTGTGATTCAGGTTCTGCTGGGAAAACTCCGTAAGAACTGCTCTGTCGAGGTGGCGGTAAAGATCTTGGATACAACACGGCTATCACGCCGACTTAGTCGAACTATCTCCAAAGCCAACGATATAGAAGAAGAGGTGGCAATAATGCTCCAGATTGATCATGTGAGGAATTTTTCTTACTCCTCCAATATTGTTTGCTTTCTATTCGGTTACGAAGGCTTGTATTTGATCTTGCTTTCCAGCCTAATTGTGTCCATCTTGTGGATTGGATTGAAGCTGGCAAAACAGCATATATCGTCATGGAAAAAGTAGACGGTGGTGAACTTTTTGGCAGAATCATCGATCCCAAGTGGAATGGAATGGTATGTTGTCTTTGATCACGAATCATATTGTTCAGAATAGATTGTTTAGCAAGTTTAAAGTAGTTAGCTTTTAGGGATTTGGTGAGGATCTATGCAAATTTTACGCTTGGCAGCTTTTGAGTGCAGTAGAAGTACGTTTACAAAATGTTTCAGGTGTTGTAGAGGGCCCAGAAAACCTAAACATATTGAAATTTTTGGTATTCATTTCCATATAATTTGCAAAGTTTCACTGTAATTAGGTCGCAGTGCTCCCTAAGGGTATCTCCATACTTCATAAGGATCGGCCGATTCAGATCGGCCGACCCTTATAACGCTTATAAGC